CTCAAGCGATTCTCCTGCCTCAGCCTCCCAGGTAGCTGGGACTACAGGCATGCGCCACCATGCCCGGCTAATTTTTTTTTTATTTTTAGTTGATTGGCTAATTTCTTTCTATTTATAGTAGAGACGGGGTCTTGCTCTTGCTCAGGCTGGTCTCGAACTCCTGAGCTCAAGCAACCCTCCTGCCTTGGCCTCCCAGAGTGCTAGGATTACAGGTGTGAGCCACCACGGCTGGCCCCATACTAAATTCTTAATATGAATTACTCTTATTTAGTCCTCATAATCCTACCTAACAAGTGCATGCTATTATAATACCTATTTCACAGATGAGGAAACAGGCTCAGAGAGGTTAATTGACTCATGCAGGGTGAAACAGTGAGGACTGGAGCCAGGATATAAGCCAGGTAGTCTGGCCCCAGAAGCCTTGCCCGTAATCACTACATGCTGCCTCCTCATTCTACTATCAGACTGTGAATGTTTCTTCAGTGCTGGCCACGAACATTTGCACTTTTCCAATTCAGTGTCTAACATACAGCAGATAAGAAATACCTCCTCAATGAGTGTATAAATAAATACATTCATGACAGATTGAATTCCTCTCTGTTTGGTAGGGCTCAAATACTGCCCTGTCTGCAGATGGGATCCTAAGGTGGAGACAGGGACCACCTCTTGGGAATTTCTTCAGGTTATCGTTTGCACTTACCACAAGCTTTTTCCTGATAGCCTCTAGTTTTTCAGTAGCTGCAGCCAACTCCAAGTTTGCTTGGGCTAATGCTTGGCGTTTGGGCTCCACATCACAGTAGACCTGAAAATTCATGAGATAATAAAGATGCAAAGAGGATAAGTAATTGTTCAATCCTACTGAGCCTGGAAGCTTTACAATAAAAATCTCTAATTCACCTGGTAACTTGTCTGTTTCTTAGCCATGGTCCCATCTAAAGGCAGAGCAAAATCCATATAGCCTTCCACGTTCTCTCTGGTTTGCCATTAATTACTTATTTACTCTGGACCTCAGAGTTACAAGTACTTGCTTAAAATGCTATGTACGTCAAACACCATTAAGATACTAAAATTGGCTTGTCATAAATCGTGGAGATCATCCTCCTATCACTAGAAATTGCAATGTGCACGAACTATAGCTAAAGTTGAGATCAGTCTAGCCTTTAAGGCAGAAAGTAAGAGGGGAGGAATTCTCTGAATGCAGAAAGGACAGTGGGAGATGTCCTCATGCAACATTAACCACATTTTCACATTCTTTTCCAAGTTCCTGACCAACTTAAGAGCATGTTCTTTGAATGGTATAAAGTATAAGGGATATAACCTGGTTTTATTAAAATTATTTTGAGAAGGGCATTGGCTATAATTAGGTTTTTCACAGTAATTCCATACTTGAATATAACATACAGCCCTCCAAGACAAAAATGAGAGTTCTTCTGAGTCAAAGGCCACACGTCGCTCCCTTTTTATATCTAGTACTCTGCAAAGTGCTTGGGACATAGTTGCCAGGCAATAAATGTTTGCTAAATAAATGATTAAATGAAATACTAATCTCAATACTGCCCCAAAGTACAAATTTTAGATTAGATCATATGCAGGAAAACATTTATCTGTCACTAAAATACTAAAGCAAAGAAATGGTTACTTTCTCATCTAACTATTAATACATCTACAATAGAAATGGTATGAATTTTTGCTTTGAGAGCAGAGATTACATTGAATTCAATGTGAATTCAAATTTGCATTTGTTTCAAGTCAATATGAATTGGGTATTTAAATGTAAATAAATATAATTCATATATGTAACAAGTTTTCATCTAACTAAATCAAATTAATTACTGCTCTTTTATCTAAAGTAGCTAATCACTCTACTCCCCTCAAAAGACAACATTTCAAATATTCTCCTACATAGAATTGTTTACTCTGATGCATTCATGTCTTATTCTTAGAACTACATATCCTTATCCAGAAAACTAAATGTGAAATTGTTTCACCTTTTTTGCTGACCTAGAAATTGATATGTTCATGGCCCTTTGTGGATAACACCTGCAAACCCTTGGATTAGGACTGATACCTCATAGAATTTAACGATGTTGATGACCCAGGCACAGAGACCAGCTGCTGCAAAAGATTTGGTCCGAATCAGGTTTGGATTAAACTCTGGGTCTTTCAAATACTGTTCATTCACCACTTTTAGACAGTTCTCTGGAATGTGTTCTTTGTCATAGTTAATTAACGCTTGCAAAAAATCATCAACCTGCAAAGCAAAAAGACTGATTGCAATGAACCCATTTTGGCTGCAGAGAAAATTCCAAGATCGAAAGTTAAAATCAGCTTTTAGGACTCACATTACAAAAGCAAAATTGGCAAGCTGCATTTATCCTACTGTTTGACTTTTTTAGTCTTTATAGTATGAAGTTAGAATTAGCAATGGACACTTTTAAAACCTCTTCTATCCCAGGGTAAAATATTCAGTCCCAGCACAGGAGGTATTCACATTTTGAAGAAAAGAAAGGCATAAAAGAAAAAGCAAAACACACCAAAAGGCCTCTTTGCTTCACCTTTTTGTACATTAGTAACGTTTTTCCAGCCTAAGAAATCCATGTAATTTTCTCCCTCCTACACTTAACTGCTTTCATAATTAGCAACCTTCCACCTGCTGCTGGCATTGATTTAGGTATGCCATAACTCCAAGCTAACCTCCAACTTGGCAAGCAAAAGCTAACTCTAGAGAACATATAGCAGATTACATTCAACAACTATGAAGACGATTTCTGTGGACTTGAACATCTTTTGCTATCAAGCATGACCACAGTACCCAAAACAGTACGGAAATTGCTGGGATTTTCATCTTGCCGGGCTGGCTGATACCTTTCCCATGAAGACTTTAGCTGCTTTCCAACTTCGGTCTTTGGGCACCCTGCCCCGAGGAGCCAGAAGGACCATCACGGCCGCAGTAACATTGGTAACCGCATTTGGGGGATTGGGAAAAGCTTTCAGCTCAGTGAGGTTGACCTGAAGACAAGCATACAGGCACATACTCAGGCTCAGCGAGGTCTGGAGAAGCACTGTTAAGTTGCCAGGCTGGTCTCGTTAGCAGCCACCCACCTCTCCTAACCACATCAGTCCCCATTTGGCAGTTCTTTGCCACCCAGGGACCCTACCATGGGACCCAGGAGGTTCATTTCTTGCTGAGCACTTCTCTGGTACTCTGGAAACATCACAACCCTTTTTTTGCCTCCAAGAAGAATTACCCATCTGGTATACCAGTTCTGCAGAGCCCTGCTCACTGAGGACAGGAAATGTTATAAACACATAGGTTGTAAGATATTTATGGGTTCTATCCTGCTATGCAATATATTTGTATTTTAAGCAGGCCCCCTCCCAGAAACATAATTCCTTAGTTCAGTCTCTTAGTTTTGTTTTTCTGTCTTACATACACGGTGAGAAACATTTTCCATTACACAGCAGGGACTCTCAACTGGGAGGGGGTCAAGATACGCTGAACCTTCTTCCCTACTCCTTAATCCCCTCAGGTCAGGTCAATGATTTACCCAACAGATGGAATTAATGGTAAAGTATCAGGGCAAATACTTTGGGGCAGGAATTAGTTAGAACATACAAGAAGTACATGTAGTTTCATGGTATGTTATTTAAAAAGCAAAAACAGCCAATCGGCTATGTCTTGTGCTATCTTATGTGCAACTTGATACACTCTTGCTTATAAAACTTTGTCAAATGTTAAACCTGATTATGCGCCCTTGTCAGAAACTGCCTATGTATTTGCTAAATGATTGCAAAGAATGGAAGGGGTGTGACAGTAAGAGCAAAAACAAAGACTTAAAATATGTTAACGATAATTGAGAGCTGGCTAACCAAGATTCTTTCATCATTTATAAATATACTCAGCTGTATATTTTAAGTGATATTAATTTATTTTGTCTGGGTAAAGAGTATTCAGAAAAAATCTGCAAATTTAGAGAAACAAAGTAGGAAATAAACATTCTATTACCCAGAGATAATCAGTTATTCTTTTATTTTTTTCTTATCTTTTTCTATGCAGATGAATGCTCTTACCAAAAAACTGTAGTCATATGATATATCCTATTTTATAATCTGCTTCATCCACTCAATATATCATGAACATTTTCTCATGTTGCTAACTAGTATTCAACAATATCATTTTAATGGCAGCAGAGTA